GGCAAAATGATCGATGTAGCGACCGTGTGCGTAACTCGTGGCAATTTTGAGATATCGTGCGAACAGAAAAGGGGAGAAAGAAAGAAGAATAAAAAGATGATCCCTGACAATATCCGCTAACGTTAGAGGATCACCAAAAACATTGAAAAGAGCAGGACACTCAGCTTTTGTGCCTTGTGACAATTCAAAACCACTCTCAAACTCTCATTCTTTCTCATCATGTTTTTTCATGGTGTTATTGTTATTGCATTAGAAATTTAAATATGTATTTGTTCAATTCTCATTCAATTCAGTGGGAATAACATGTAACAATATTGTTCTTATGTATTTTTGTCACCTTTTTAGTTTTTATTTTTATGAGCATATTATTTTGACCTTATTTAAAAAAAAATGATCCTATTTAATATGGTCACAATTTACACATCTTTAGGGAGCAAGCTATTGGTGGTGGTGGTGTTTACCAATGAAAACTTTTTGACTAATTCTGTACTACTGTACCACTGTAAGGAACGACACCTTGTTAAATTATTCTTCAGTGTTCTCTTGTGCTATTTAACTTCACTCCAATTAACTCATCCAGAGAATTTATTTCAGATTGATGATACATTATTTGCTCTTGGGAAAGAAATTCAAACACTTCAAAACCAACGGGAAGAGGAAGCTTCAGGGACGCTCAAGGTACTTGAGGCTAAACTCACTGAAAAACAAAATGCTGATACCAGAATTCAGACTTCGCTTCAACACAAAACAGAAGCACTCAACAAAGAGAAAAATAGTCTGAATGATCTTTTTAAGAGCAAAAAAGAGGTAAGTATATCATTAAGGGCAAAAAAAAAAAATGTTGTGTTGTTCTTTGTAACCAACTGAAATTTTCCAAAAATTTGGGTTGCTGTTTTTTTTTATTAAACTTTTTTAAGGGTCTTCCTTTCACTCAAATTTTAAATTTGAAAAATATCTCTGCCGAAATTAGCAATTCAAAACATAAATTAAACAAATGTGCACTATAAAGAACTAAATACATCATTTGAGATGAGTAGGGGATGCAAGATTTGCTGGTACTGTACCACTTTACCGAGTAGCATAGACACAAAGGGATGCTTAGGGGTGAAGAATGTATTACTAGTCCACACATCAAGCACCATGAGCATATTGTTTGGTATGGATTCTGGCACTATACAAAATGTACAGTATTATTATTAATATTCAGAAGTTGTCTATTTTTGTTGGCATTTTCCAAAAATTTGGGTTGCTGTTTTTTTTTATTAAACTTTTTTAAGGGTCTTCCTTTCACTCAAATTTTAAATTTGAAAAATATCTCTGCCAAAATTAGCAATTCAAAACATAAATTAAACAAATGTGCACTATAAAGAACTAAATACATCATTTGAGATGAGTAGGGGATGCAAGATTTGCTGGTACTGTACCACTTTACCGAGTAGCATAGACACAAAGGGATGCTTAGGGGTGAAGAATGTATTACTAGTCCACACATCAAGCACCATGAGCATATTGTTTGGTATGGATTCTGGCACTATACAAAATGTACAGTATTATTATTAATATTCGGAAGTTGTCTATTTTTGTTGGCTTGCCAACTTCCTTATTCAAAGAACAAGTCTAATTTTTTCAGATGAGTTCATGTTTCATTCGTAAATACACACCATTATCAAGCTACAGGGGCGGATCCAGAAATGTCCAAAAGGGGGGTGGGCCGAAAGTTGGACCGATTGAGACAACACTGTCGTAAGGAGTCCGGGGGCATGCCCCCGCGAAATTTTTGTGTCCTAGACGCCCGAACATAACATTTGAGGCATTCTTGGCCATCATTTTTTTCTTTTTCTTTCTTTTTTTTCTTTTTTTTTCTTTTTTTACCTCTCGAAAGAGGGGGCCGGGGCCGGGCCGCCTTCCCCCCCCCCCCCCCCTAAATCCGCCTCTGAGCTTCTCAGTGCTTTATAATAGGTATTTTGTGTTCCTTATTGTTTCTGTGCAGAAAAGAGTTTTCTGTCATCCTAGTAGTGACTATTAATTGTGGTGTCACCAAAAATGCCATACATCTAATTTTATTTTAACTGTTGTGGTAAGATGACCCGTTTTTTTAATCAGCAAATTCAAGAATTTACCCACAATGAAAAAATCATAAAATTTTTTGGACGATCCGGAGTATTGTAGAGTGTTGATATGAGGACTACCATATTCAAAGGAAAAATGTCACATACCAAATTTTTCAAAAACTAAACTGATCTGAATGAAATTTTTAGGAAAATTTAGTCAAGTTACAAGGAAGACATTATTAAATTGTGTTGATGATCTGGACTCAGATATGAATTTAAGGGTATTTTAAAGTACTTAAATGTTCCTTAATATCTCAAAATAGTTATAAATGAATCTAAATGGAACATTCTAGAATAGTTTAGCATGATCCTATAAAGAAATGATTAAATTTTGGTGATGATCTGGAGTAGGGTGTGGATATGAGGACCATTTAAAGATTTTTTGTGGACAGTTGATTAAATTATACAAAAGCAGTTTGCATTTTCTAAAGCATTTAAAATGTAAATTACTGTCATATGCATTAAGAGTTTTTGCTTTCAATCACTGAATCGCTACAAACTAAAAATGCACTGACCTATGTAGGGTTGGTTCATATAACGTGCAATGGTTATATATATAACCTTTGCATAACCATATCACCCTTGTTATTACCGTTGCAGCTATAGTTCGAGTCTTACTAACGTTGAGATAGTCTCACTGTTCTTTTTTGACTTGACTATAGAAGAATATTAAAAATTGCAATTGTTTATAACATGGTGAACTTTTGAACTGGTGGTTTGGGTTTGCATTTGTACTGTCTTAATGTGATGTGTTTTTGCTTTTTAGATTTTTTCTAGTTCTTGTTTACCTTTCATACAAAATTTCCCTGATTTCGAGTTGGTTTTCATGTGTTTTTACTTCTTAATTTCCTTTAATAATTTTCTGTATGAATTCATTTTTGTTTTTCATGTTATTTTATTGTAGACTTAAATGACTGTTTTTTTTTAAATTTCAACATCACTTCCCATTTAATGAGGAAAAGCCCTATGTCCTTTTTTACAATCAGACAGAGCAAGTCTTTATATTATTATTATTATTATTGTTTAAAATTGTTATTGTTATTAAATGCATGCATACATAAAACACTGAAAGCAAGCATTTACAACATTTTACTTACTGAAATGATAAATTGTATCCTGTAGTTTAGTTGTATCAAATTTGGCATCAATTTCACTGTAGTCGATGATCTTTTTGTGATGTTAAACATAAGAAAAATTAAAAATATTGTAGATCTCTTTTAAACAATAATTGTTTTCTCTTTCTAGGATGAAATACTTTTAAAAAGCAAGGATAAAGAGATTGATGAAAATACTGCAATGTATACTAAGCTACAAGAAATATGTAACACAGCTGCAGCAGCATTCACAAATGCACAAAAAAAATTGCAGGCAGTGTCTTCTGGTCTAGCAAGTGATGACAATGGAACTGATAAAACACTTGAAGCTGAATGGCGAGGTAAGTTTTAAAAGCTGGCTCAGATACAAAGAAAATAAAATTACCGATATGCTGGCATTATTAAGGATATCAAAAGTAAATTATGTTTCAGTCTAGTCACAAAATTGGAACAATAGAATGTTACCATTCAACCCAGGACACATCTTGACTGAAAATACCCCAAGAACTTGCAGGGAAAACAGCAGTTTTACAAACGAACAATTACAATATTTAAGGGTTTTTTAAACGTCTTTATGAATAATTATAGAGAAAGAAATAAAAAAAACAGTGATTAATTTGAAGTAAGAACAGTTCTCCCACTCGGAAGGGGTGCCTCGCATTCCATATCGCATAACTGTATGTCATTGCTAATTCATTGAGTTGTTTTTTAACTGTTTTGACTTTACTAGTAGTATTCAATTTTAAAATATCCTTTTAAGTCTGTTTTCATTATTATTTGTCATCAGACATAGTGATCCTATTTCGAGGCACAAAACTTAAAAAGAAAAGCCAGTGTTGTTAGATCATAACAGTAATTTGAATGCTTTTCACTTTTGTACTTGTGGGCTTTTTCAGTATTTGTCTCAAATGGGACTATATCCTGCAGTTTAATTCCAGCGATCTTTTTTATTGTTTCTTATCATGATACTTAAAATTTCAATGTAAATAAGAAATAAATATGGCGATAGTGGATCTCCCGGTCTGCAACTTCTTTGTATGTTAAAAAATGGATAGACGTGGCCATTTACAAGTACACATGATTTTATGCCATAATTAAAAGCAGATATCCATTACTTTATTATCAAGTGCATCAAACAGGAATGACGTTCAAACAGTCAAAAGCTTTTAAAAATCAATTAAAATATTGTAAGTAAATGAATCTAATATTTTCACCAATGTATGGATTTGACATTAACCCTTTCTGATCTCTGTGGATTATATCAGATAAAATATTTTAATCAATTTTGGAGTCTCACAAATTATGTAAAATTCTCTTCTCCTTGACGAATTGTCTATTCTCTTCGACGAGAGGGGGAAGCTTTAGCTGGGGCTATATTGCACTGTAATCATTACCAAGTAGCTTGGATGTTTGCAGTTGTTAGCTGAAAACTTTCATTGTTGAATTTTGCTTTAGATTGCACAAATAAGTTAACAAATGCGGGAGACAACCTAAAAAATGCACAGATGAAGTTGGAGGAAGCACAAGAAAGACTAGATAAAAAAATGTCAGAAGTGAAGGTTACAGAAAAGGAGTATGCTAAAGTGAAGAAAACCCTTGATCAAATCAAGAAAACAAAGGATGAACTTGAGGTACTTCAGTAATTTGTAATTATTAAGGGAGGGAATTTGTGTTAATGTATGTTGGAATGATACCACTTCTTATAAATTTTATTTTCAGTCAGAGATCAAGCGATTGGGGTTTGAAGACCAAATTGAAGATAAGTTGTTGAGAGAGAAGCAGTCACTGTCAGTGGATATTGATAAATTGCAAGATACCATTGTGAATTTAACAGAGAGGTAGGGCTATTGGTACAGTACAAAGCAATAATGCAAAACTATTAAACTTGGGCCTGGCCTAATACAGTGTATCTTGTCACTTAGATATTACATATACAGTAGAACCTCGATTTTACGTACGGTACGGGACCGGAGGGCGTACGTAAATCGGGGGATTCGTAAAATAGAGGTTGGGTTAAATTTGTGGTAACCTTTGGCCTAATACGTACGTAACGCTCAATATACGTATGTATGAACGAACGATGTTACGAAACTATGCCTACTCAGCTTCGTGTAGAAAATTAGACCAGACAAGTTTTTCCATGGTTTGCCACACAAAGTTAAGGAGGAAAGCAATTATTTTGAGCACCATCGGCAGTTGTTCATCTCACTCAGTTCACTTGGTTTAGATTATAACAACCCGGTATTAGACTCAATCAATGTTGCTGTTTAATGAAAATATGTTGCATTATGGTCTGTTTATTGTTATAGTTTATTGTTATAGTCTTTTTACTTATGGTTGCTCTGAAAAGGGCTGTTTTGTTCTGAATATTTTTGGGGTTTTTGATGACGCCATCATCGATACGAGGCGTACGTAAAACCGAGGGCTCGTATAACTGGGGTACGTAAAAACAAGGTTCTACTGTACAACAATTATTATCAATTTTTCCTAATCTTTAATATTTTAGTAGTTTGGACCCACAGTCAACGTTGCATATTGTTTTTATATTTTCTATCAATATTGGTCAATTATTTGTTGAGAGAGAGTGTGAACTAAATTTTGCTGGTAAAAAAAGTATTGAAAATACCTATGATTTGACAAGGTCATTGAACCAAAAAATAATAATTCACTTCTAATGGTCTCTATGTGTCTGAGCTACCTTTTTGTAGTTACATTAGTTACTGTCCTCACAAACCTGTTATTTTTATCTGGTACATCTTACTTTGGTAAATGTTTTTGAACTATTAAATTCAAAAGTTCAGTTTTCATAGGATATAATCAGAGGGAGTTGATTTTTTCTATATATTACTTTTAGTATTTTATGTGACTATGATTATTAAAAACATTAAATATAGTTTATAGAAAAAATTATTTTAAAATATTTTATAACTATACAAAGGTTTCCAAATCTGCAATTTGAATATCGTGATCCTGAAAAAAACTTCGACCGTCGAAAGGTTCATGGGCTTGTTGCTCGTCTCATGAAAATCAGTGATGTTAATGTAGCAACTGCCCTAGAGGTGTCTGCTGGCAAGAAGGTAAGTATCTATGTTTAAGTTGTCTAATTATGTTCTTATTTCTTTTCATTGTAATTGTAAGAGTTCATTTTGGGTAAAAAACAGGTGCAAGTATAAAAGCCACTTATTACGTTCAAAAATCTCTTCTGGATTTTTATAGTTATTAATATCTTGTATAAAGCCATTTTTAGGCCCTTTTTTAATAAATTAAACTATTGTGATCTAGGTGCTCAAAATAGATATATTTCTTCCGTGTCCTGGACCTCTTTGGTATATTAGCGATGTGATGTTAGTTCAAGGCGTGAACTGATTTAATCTAGTGATTGTAGCGTTTGGAGTTTGTTGTCACAATACCGGGGATAATGAATGCAACTGTAAATAAAAATATAGGGAGAGTAAATACAAATAAGAGAAAGAAATTAAGATAAAACACCATACAGACGAAAGAAAAGAAAATAAAAACAATGATAGGTTATGGAATGAGTTCTAACAAGAAAAACAATTTGTTACAACAGATGATAAGATAAGATACACTTTATAGCTCTAAGTCGGAAATTCAGTTCAGTTCATGATGATGATGTCCTGGGTTTTGTTTGAATAAATATCTGTGGAAATCAGATGAGCTTAAATGCAAGTAAAACAAAAGTTAACTTGTCAGGCCCGTAGCCAGGTCCTTCCGGGAAGAGGGGTGTTTTCTGGGCGAGGGTCCACGGTCGGATCCTCGGTGGGGGTCGGCAAAACCCCCAAAGCAAGTAAATTTTTGGCCTTTATGGGTCTAAATAATGCTAAAAAAGTCCAAACCATAACCCCCCACCCTTTGGATATGGGCCTGCTTGTAAAGTGAACAACAAATAATTGTTTGTTTCTTTCTTGTACTACAGTAGTAGGCCAACTGGTATGGTACATATACATGTGAAGTTGTTGATATATTTGTGCGGGTTACGGAACCTTAAAAATGTTCCAAAGCAGAATATTTATATTTAAATTGTCCTAATAATTTGATTAATATTTAGCATGATAGAGATATTCTAAATTGTTAAACAAATTATAATTTTTTTTTTTCAAATTCTGTTTTTGGTAGCTGTATAATGTAGTTGTTGATTCAGAGGTGACAGGAAAGAAATTACTACAGAAAGGGGAATTGAAAAAGCGCTTTACCATCATTCCCCTGAATAAGATCTCTTCACGTACTTTGAGTCCAGAGATCATAAATGGAGCCAAACGATTGGTAAGCAAAGTTTGATACCTACTTCTAGTAAAGTATTTTTGAAAAAAATATTTTGGTGCAGAGTTAGAGTAAGCTGCTCAAATGTGGCCAAGACATTCTATCCTTTTCACCTAAGAGTTTAAATGTGTAGTATGTGAATGACTGAATGAGTTTAAACTGATGCAACTTCACGACTAGAATTCCTCTGTAGGGGGATTCATATTGATAATAAAGACCTGTGGTGGTAATGAATAATTATTTAAAATATTTTACCCTGGTCATCCAATCAATCAAAAGAACTGATATGTCTTTGGGCTTTGGGAATTTCGCCAGTGAATGTAAGTAAAATTAATAAACAAGGAAGCCTATAATCATTTTGCAATAATTTTTAAAATGTTTATTTTAGTTATTTTATTGATTCAACAACTTAAGTTGATTGATATACAAAATGATTAGCACCTAGCCATCCAGTGAACTTGATTTGCTACTAGTTTAATTCACAAGGTATGTGTTGTTTTTTATTCTTTAGGTTGGAAAAGACAATGTTCACTTTGCTCTCTCGCTTATAGGGTATGAGAAAAATGTGGAAGCAGCAATGAAATTTGTGTTTGGTTCAAACTTTATTTGTAATAAGATGGAACATGCAAAATCTGTAAGTTAGTTCAGTTCTTATTAATTCAAGGTTACTGATTATTAGAAACAAGTTTAATAGACAGTCAAAAATCACCATCACCATGGTATAAGCTCCTACCTCAATGAAATTTAAACCATAGTTCCTTTATATAATGGCAAGATCACATCTTGATGCTGTGTTGAAAAAATAGTGGTATTTAACAAAAAAAAAAAGGAACTTTTATAACCAGTTTTTAGCTGCTTGTCACCGTTGATTGTTTACCTCGAGAAGTGACATCATGAGGCTAAAATTACGATGCAAAACCTATTGGCTAAATGATACGTTTGCTAATAATTAACAGTATCACAATGCATTTTGATACATTATAATGACTTAAATATGATGATATATCTTTAATCATACAAATTTCCGAAAAAACTAAAGAAATACTATAATACGCTTGAGTTTAAAAAAGGACCTACGGTTTGAAATTCGGTGAGGTAGGAGCTTGTGCCATAGTGGAGGTGAATTTTACATTTTCTTAAATTCTTTATAGTTACATAGTATTCCATGTTGATTTAACAAATTCTTAAATTATAAATATTGTATATGCAAAGTTGGTTTATTCTCATATACTAGCCTGTGTGCAGTAGAAAATTGGCGGAAAAATTTATTTTTAGTTATTCTGAATCAGTCAAAAAAAAAATTCCCATTCCTAGGGCTTGTGCAATTTTTTTTTTAATAGCACATTGAAATTGTGGCCTAAAAGACCCTATTTTGACTACTTAAGATTGGGGTAGTAGGGGAATAAATTCAAATCCAAAATGGCATTGAAAAATTGCTTGACTTGACCGATAAGATTTGACTTCCAGATTGTATGGAAAACACAACAATTTGGCATGTAAAATAAGACCGACTTAGAGATTATTTAAGTTAAAGTTGACTTTTGCAAGTTCATCTTATACCCAATGGAAAATGAAATAATGAAATTTTGCTCTAAAAGGCACGATAATTCCATTTTTTGATCAGGGTAGGGGAAACATATTTACATTTTTAATCACTTTTAGTTTATAATGAATGTGAAAATACAGTGGTGACCTCAGAAATTTGCTGAGACTGGCTTTGTCCCAGGGTCTGACTAGACTAATGGTCAGGGGGAGTTTTTATGGCTTAATATGGCACAAACTTGTGCTTTTAAACTAGAATATTAGGAATTGGATTTAAGATCAAATTTGAATCCACATGGGAATTTGAATTTTATTTATCACTAGGTGACATTTGATCCCAAAATTAAAACCAGAACAGTGACTTTAGCAGGTGATACATTCGATCCATCAGGAACACTAAATGGAGGTAGGAATTTCTTAATCTAAATGCTTCAAGGAGAGAACCTAACAAGAAGCCCCTATTTAAATTTTTAAATATGCCTTAAATAATATAATTTTTTTATTGATTATTTTTTCTAATGTTGCCATGCTTTTGTTTTCTTTTTTGTAATGACACTTTTGGCTTTGTAACCTACTATTAAAGAAAAAAAAAAAACTACTACTGTATTAAGCAGCAGTGGTGGACTGTCCAGGCAAGCAAGGTATCCTCTGCATACCCAAGCTAGAACTCCTAAAAATATATTTTATTGTGCCTTTTCTTCTTTTTATTTAGCATTTTTTTGTCCATAATTTTCTATAAAAAACTTAATTTTTCTAATTGATTGCTAAGTTTAATTGGAATGTTTTATTAGTTTTTATCAATCTTTAGTCTTTTTGATATCTAGGATAGCTGGCCTGTTATGACATACTCTGTTTAGAATTTTGTCATGGTTTTCTATACTGTACTGAAAACGTGTGCGAGTCAATAAAAGTGGTCACATACCCTACATTGGTTAAATGTGCTAAATGAATGGTGGCGCTAGAATAGCAAATTTAACACTGATTTGATAGGACTACATCCATGCTCCTCTTCTCACTTCTTCAGGCTTCCACTGCTTTCCGCACTGCCAAAGGCGTAATTTGTGTTACCTGGCATTATCTGCCCACAGACAACTAGTATAGAAGAAACTTCCATAAATTAAATTGAGACTTGTTGAACGTATATGTTATATGTATAACTACGACACATAATGACTGTCAAAATGTATTATAGCACACATGATGCATAAAGACTTTTTGATCCCGACCAGTTAAAACAAAATGTAATTAGACTGGAGTAGAATATTAATAGAATGTGTTGATAATGATACGGCTTCCATAAGGTTTTTTTACAATCATTTGGAGGTGCGGGGAAGAGGGGCATGTATTCAAGGAAAAATTAAACGCTGTTGGGTACAAGTTTATTTGAGGTTGGAATAAATATACTATTTTTATTATAATTTTATAGTCTTTGACTGTAGGTAAAATAGATGGAACTTTTCCCACTAGCAGCCCAAGCATACCCTACATTTTATCCTGTGGTCCACCACTGTTGAGCAGTAACTTAAATGTCATCTAATTGTGAATAGAATGAACAAGTTATTGCTATATGTTCACTGGTAGGCTTGGTGGACATGCCAGCTATTTTGCCCAAGAATTTGGGTACTTGTGTAAACGTGAACTGAGGTATTGTGCTATAACATCATATTCATTAATAGTATTCTTATTATTATCATTATTATTGCTATTATTATTTTTATTACTATTATTAATAAAAATGACAATATACAGTGCTATGATTATAAAAATTAACCTTTTTGTTTGCACCACAAACCATATAAATAAAATTTCCAAAATCTAGAGCCAGTGGAGCTGGAGCTTAGTTTTCTCCTAAACAGAAAAGAGTATTAGAGGTACTAATTCATTGCATAATGCTATTGTTTGAAAGTATTTGTTGTGGTTTATAAACATTGTCTCCAATCAGGGTGTGTGTTATTTTACAGGGAAATTCCTTTTCCTACAATGTTCCACATGTCTTCAAACAGTGAAAAATAAACAAATATACAGATTAAAAGGCGTGAGGAAGATGAGTCACAAATAAATCAATTAAAGTATATAATATATGAATTTGTTTCATTATTTTCAATATACAAGTATATGTAAATATATATATACTGTACATTTACATATAATGTATGACTCATTAAAGCTAATAAGGGCTAGAGAACTAAAAAAAAAAAGTGTTTTTAAAATAAATGTCAATCTATAAATGTAAATGTTAATATAAACGTAAATGTTAAATCTGTATGGCTCGTCATAAACTTGTATGAGTATTATTTCTCTTTAATACTCCAAACCAGGATCCAGAAACAAATCTTCAGCAGTGCTAGCCATGCTTAGTGAGTTACAGAATGCAGAAGACAATTTGAAAGAAAAATTGCAAAAACTTGCTGAGGTTGATAATCAACTTGCCAAACTTAAGCACTCATCAGAGAAGTATGTTTGATTTTCATTAATGATTAATTATACTTTTATTTTATACTTGCAACTTACAGGCTCAATTAGATTTATACTAAAATGAACAGTAAAATACTGCTATTTGGTCACAATTTGTAAAGCCAAGCTTATTGAACTGTGATTACAAATCTTTCAGTGATCCTTGTATACCAAGTTCTTGATGGTTTTTATTATTAGTTCATTTGATATAATACATTGTTAAAATCCAATTTTATTTTTATTTTATCCTCAGATTTCATCAGTTGAAGGAACAGTTAGATATGAAATCACATGAATTTGACAGCATGCAGAGTCTATTGCAGGAGAGCACTCATACTCAACAGTTAAACATGATCAAGAAATTGCAGATATCTGTTGGTAAGGTTGTGGATGTTATCAAGTAAAAGACATGCATTTTCAAATGAACAATGTGTAATGGAATATGTCAACAAAGCTTTAACTCTTCCTTTTCTTTAAATTGCAAGTAGTGGTTTAGTAAAATTGATCTTTTGATTTTTTGTTCTGAAATACTGATTAATAAACTGTATACTAACATAATATGCTGGTGATTCAAGATCTCAATGACAGATATACTTTAAATACTGAGCTACATACAAATTTGGACTGAAGATTCTGGTAGTTTCCTGGCGAACCTGTTCATAAATATGAATACATACCTTTTAGATAATTTGAGACAAATACAATGACCAGTTACCAGTGGCATAGCTACGGGTAGTGCAGCCAGTGCAAAGCACTGGGGCCCATTCATAAATAGACCTAAAATAATAATTTAAAATAATTTCTATAAAAGGTAATAAACTTAAATTATAAACATAACATTTTCACATTTTCTCACTATTTTTGTTTTCAAAATTATCAAAGAAATGGGAAAAAAGAAAATTGTATTATAATTTATGTCGGAGATTGCCATCCCCGGCCATCTAGAGGTGCTATACAGGGGTGATATAAATTTTCTTACCTCAGCCCCAACCATGGTGGAGCTAAGGTGGTCATTGCCCTGCCTCTTGGCCTGCTGAGAACAGCTGCTGAGACCGTATCTGCTCCTCTTAAAATAGTTACAAATCCGGAATTATCTGAGAATTTGAGGGAATTTCCCTATCACATCAAAAGGCCCGGCAATTAATCTCGCACTGGGGCCCTTTCGCAACTAGCTTTGCCGCTGCCAGTTATTATACAGTTACACAAAACTGCAGAGCAACCTGTTGGGTAATCAAAGCATAGCACAAAATTAGTATATATTAGTATAATATTGATAAGCCTGGTCATGAAGCAACGGTTATTGCCGTTGACTATCGTAAAGCCTTTGACTTAAATGATCACACAATCGCTGTCAAAAGTGAAAACACTGAAAGATTAAAAAACTCTTGTCCAGTTGCCCGATGTTGGTTTTTGTTTATATTCTATTTTACAAAATGAAATATATTGTATTTGTGTCAGTTAACAAAGCCCTTAACTCTATTAACATTTCGTAAGTGTCCATTTCAATTATATTTTTATTTTTGTGCATATTTAAAAAAAATTTTTTGCACGCTTATTATTTCACCTTCAGTTGTGAATTTTTATTTAATTCGCTTTAATTTTTATTCTTTTAATTGTTATTTTTAACCTGTTGTTCATTAATTAATTTGGAAGGTCTTGGTGCAATTATCTCTTTATATTTTTTTTGCTGTTTTGCCCTTGTGTGAATTGTTTCCCCTAATGCAAATGTTTTGGTGTTTTTTTTTTTGGTTTTTTTTTCAAATGTGTGTTTTGGTGTATTTATTTTTCTTTTGTTTAGTATTTTCCAGTGTGAACTTGAGCCTTTTTAAAAATTACTTAATGTGCAGTAACCTCTTGGCTTCATAGAGCCACAAACCGAACCACTACTCATGAACTGTGCAAGTTTATAATTTATTGTGTGTGCAATGCACCACAACATGCGGTGTCATATTATCAATATTTGAGCTACCACTTGATTACAGGGAAGGGTCTTTTTAGGCAGTGTCTCAGTGTGGTTTGCCCTACCAGCTGTGTTCCAAAGTTGAATTTATGTTACTGTAGATTTTGTAAATAAATTTAACGTCCTTCCTTTGATTTGATTGCTTGCAGATGAACAGCAGAAAACTGTTGAACAATCTAAACTTACACAAGCAAACATGATGGAAAAAATGAAGACATTGGAAGAGAAGTTGAAGAACCCAAAGGCTGTACAAGATCAAGAAATAAAGGCAGCAGAAGAGCAGGTTGACAAGGCCAAAAAACTTGCTGAACAGTCAAACACAAACATGAAATCAAAACACCAGGTGTCTATGATTTTTTAATTCACTAGTTGTCTGTCTATCGTACATAGTCTCCAAGTCAACACCCTTTAATGAATGTGAAGCACCACATCCTAACATTTTCATGTGTATATTTGAAGATGTATTTTTTCAGGATGTACAAAAACTACTGCATATCTGTTTAAAAACAGGAATAAAAAAAGTGTGTTTTAAACTCCTTTCCTTTTTTTTGCTATTTTGTGTGTATAAATGTATAATTGTACATAGGAATATCCTATAAAATGTATATAATAAATATATGTATAGAAGCAGATACAAAAATGACACAAAAAGATTGCATAGTATTGTAAGTCAAAGGTCGTTATATGCAATTTTTTTTTCAAATATGAAATTTTGTCAAATAAAATGGGCTTAAATATATATTCTGAGCATTTTGACACAAAAAGCAAATCTGTGACCAGTGGTTGGCAATATAAGTATTCAAACACCATTATAATTATCGATATAAGCCGTGGAAAATGCCTTGTAACATGGGTTTTCTTATGAATAATCTGAGATCAAAGTCTGTACTGCCAATATGCACAGATAGGCTTATATGCCTTGAAATGTGTCAAAGGAGAAGTGGCATTCCCAGCATTTTTTAGCACAATGTTCTAATAGACTAAATAGCAACAATGCTCTGATCAAAATGACACTCAAATAACTATTTACAACAATTGGTTGCAAAGATATAAGAATCCTATGGCCATAACGTTGACTTCAATCTTTTGCCACATTTTGAAAATGTGTTACCAAGCAAAAAAATTATTCTTTGCCACCCTGAACCAATTTCTTTAGTCAAGTTCTCAGGACATCAAAGTTCATACAAAACCGGTCTAGCTACTAGGTTATTAAGTTGAAAAATTTTTTGGACCCAAGTTGTCAACTCAAAAACACTATTTTTGAGAGATTTAATCTTAACATCAACTTCCTCAGCAGGTTTGAATGAAATATAAATCACCTGCATTAGTATGATAAGAAATGTAAACTTTGAAACAATACAGTATACAAAAGTTGACCCTTGAAGAACAGAATAGTTGAGAATGTTCCCAACACAAACTGTTTGTGGACGTCCAGAAAGATTGGACCACCAGACGTAAAATAAAGAAAAAGAAAATTGTTTGTAAACAGAACTTGCTAATACAAACAGAAATAATTCTAATTCATTATACAAATAAATTCAACTTTGTGGGTAATTATGGTAATACAGTATTATATTTGATACAAATTTTTTGTTGTTGCAGGAGATGCAAATGCTAAAACTAGAGGCAGAGACCCTTCGACAAGATTTGTGTAAATATGAAAAACAAATCGAAACAACAAATGAGACTATTACTGGCTTTGAAGAACAATTAAAACAAGTTCAGGAAGCAGCCAGAAATTCTGCGGTAATATTATTTGATATCATCAGTATATACAGTATGTTACAGCAATGAACACTTAAAAGCATAACGAGTTAACAGCTCTTTTTGTCACTGATTATTTAATTTGTTACCATAGGAAACAGTCAAACAGTCGCAACAAGATCTAAATCGTCAAAGAGAAGTATTGACAGAATGTAATCAAGACATTAATGCTAAGATAGGAGAGCAAACACAGCTTAGTAAGGAAGAAAATGATGTTAAGCTGCAGATAAAGGAGATGGAGCATAAAGCAGCCAAGATCAACAAAGAGAGCAAGGAAGCAGCACAAAGAGTATGTAGTCTTACAATACATTTAATAATTGATATTTGGTATTTATATGACATGTGCTTTATGTTGTAAACATTCTAAAGTTATATAGACCTATACCTACTCTATACATGGTGTTTTACTTGATATGTGTAATCTGCTTTGGTGGATCCCAACATCTGTAACAGAAAAAAAAAAACAACATGGAGAGGAATCTAACATTAGCATTCTTAAGTTCAAACCTAGTCTGCTTCAGGATAGTTTTATCTGTGGCAAGCCTATCTCATTATTGTCATTATAAAAATGATGTGCAGGGTGATAAATTTGGAAGTAATCACAAGAATACTAATGTGTACTGCTGTTTTGTACAAACAACAAACCAGTGAAAAATAAAGTTATATTTAAGAAAAGCAAAATTCAGAAAAATATGATAAGATATCAGAGAATGCACATATTAATAGGCAGTTTTCCAAGTAGATAAGTCAAGTTCAGGGGTTCACTAAAATCTCATATTTTTTTCATTAAATGCTGTTAAATCATAAACTGTTGCTCTTCCAATAGATAATCAATTTCATAGTTTTCATATTGCAGGTTCAAAATCTACTTGCTAAATATGAATGGATTGAAAATGAGAAGCAGTATTTTGGACAGCCTAACACAGGATATGATTTTACTCAAAATGATCCGAAAGAAGTTGGTGTTCGACTTCACAAGCTTCAGGAAATTAAAGAAAACCTTTCAAAAAATGTCAATCTTAGAGCAATGAATACTTTAAGTAAGGCTGAAGAAAAGGTATGTTCAAAAAATATATATGTAGTTGACCTTTCTCTTCACTATAAAGCTTGGTTGCTGTTTAGGATTTCAACCCTGTGGTTGGGAGTATGATCATCATGCTGTCCACTTCCAGCCATGCTTAGATACCCCAGCTTGCATTGTGGACAGGCTACAAAAATGGTTCACACTATGTTCCAGCATTTCTGCTACGGCCGCTGATTTTGTTGGAGGTAACAAGATCAGGCCCATCCTTTGTAAAGCATTGCCTTGCATTCTCTAATTAAATACTCGTGTTTTTTATTTACTGCATATAATATGCAAACACACCATAAACCAGAATTCTTGCATACAGTTTGCAGTGCTTGGGATTTGAGGTATCACCATTGCACACCAAAACTCTTTTTCAGGGGTGTGAAAAATAGAGTACTTTGGGTTTAGTAAAAACCATGTCTGTGTGTTCTGTAGGATGTAATTTGTATTACTTAGAGCTCAGACCACTTAGTTTATGTGTACACTGAAACTTAAATTCCTTCCTTCCCAAAAAATCAAGTGTATAAATAAATTAAGATATGTGGTTGACAGCTTTGCCTACCATTTTCAAATAAAAAGTGTAGTATTCAAAAATTTAACAACTAATGATACCCCGAATGATGTATAATACAAAGAGTCATAATACTAAGTAGCTTAAAGGAGAAGTTTACATGTTTTATATAATTTGAGAATTGATTTAGCATAATCAGGTTACATATCCCATTTTTGAATTACAAATCTTGTGCACGTTTGTTACGTAGATAATCTCAACCAAATTTGTGATGACGCAGCATGTGCATCGCTCCATTTAAGCAATGCACCTGCAACGTCATCAAAATTTAGATTAGAACGTCTACAGTGTATGTAACAACATGCACTAGATTCGTAATTTTAAAAATAAGATATTATCTCACTGAGTATGCTAAATCAATTTTCAAATTGAATTAATTGGCAGACTTCTCCATTAAATATGTTGCTACAAAATCAAAATATATTTCAAAATATTTTATATCTCTTTGATCCAGAAATTACTTATTAATAAGTTTATAGGTAATTATTCTCCAAAGTTGAGCCAATCAATAAACAGAATTTACCAGTTTAAAAATTCACCAGTTTTATCTAGCACTAACGGTCATCGTCAACTTGTCTTCTAGTATAATGACTTGATGAAAAAACAAAAAATTGTGGTTAATGACAAGAAGAAAATTATGGCAACAATCAAGGAGCTAGATGAAAAGAAAAATGAAGCTCTTAAAAAAGCCTGGGAGCAAGTTAACAAGGTAGACATTTTTGGTATCTATATTTAGTAAGAACCATTGCTTTTGGCTTTGTAAGTGTTTGCATTCATATGAATTTGTTGAGCAACTTGTTTGCGAATTTTTGCATTTTCTTTATGCAATTTTGTTTTGGCTGTAAAACTGTAGGGGTAAAATAACAGTTTGCACTACATCTTGCTAGGATTACTGATGATGGGTCGCTGTGTTTGTATTGTATGCAAGTATTTTCAGGGCTAAAAGTGTGTTTATGTTTTCCTTTAATAATTTATGTTAATCAGTGAGAACTTTCCCCATCTACAGCGGCTTGATTATGGAATATCCTGCCTCCTTCCATTAAGAACTGTAACTCTGTCAGACAGTTTAAGACAGGCCTTAAAACCTGTCTTTTTAATTGAGTTTAGGGCATATTATGGCTGGGTTTGGTAGTTTTTGCACTCATTTCATTTTAATATTTTTATCTTATATTACCAGTGGTTTACTATAGTCTATGACCATGGGGCGGGGGAGTGGGCTATACTTGAGAGAATATTTATTACAGTGTGTGGTTAGCACTTTGTAACTGCAAGGAATAAGTGCCATAGAAGTAACAAGTAATTTGTAGCACAACCTGAAATTGAGAGTGAAATTCAATTTAGTTATAAAATGTGTATTTAGATATATCACATCTAGGTCATTTAGTTTGGGAGTGAGCATTGTCAACCCCATTGTCTTGTTAAAATTGACTTTATGGAAAAGAAACATTAAAGTCACCTACAGTATGATCATAAATGGACTAGACTCGCACTCATAAGTAGAGCTGAATCTGATCAGCTGATCAGTCAAAAAGTGTACTCCTATGATGGTTGGGATAATATTACCTTATAGTGACACCATCACTAAATTTAAATACAAGATTAGGCATTAATTTACTGAGAAATCTCACACCGTAAGGATGTCATAAATTAGTTTCCTCTGAGTCAATGCTTCATGGTGATCTTGTGTTAATATTCAGGGTCAGAAGCCAGTGTTCACATAAGAAAAATACAGTTTACAGTTACTCACTTTATGCACAAGGATCACAACTGCAAACTGTTCTAAATGAGTCCCTTCACAAGACAAAAATACACACAAGATGCTGTATAGACCTAGTCTTAAACAATAGTGAGATTGATGTATGCTCTGCATTATTTATTCATAACAATTATATTTTCTTCAGGATTTTGGTTCAATTTTCTCAACTCTTTTACCTGGCACTTCAGCGAAACTGATGCCACAAGAAGGACATAGTATTCTAGATGGCTTAGAAGTCAAGGTTGCTTTTGGAGATGTCTGGAAAGAAAGTTTATCTGAACTTAGTGGAGGGCAAAGGTAAAAATATGTTGTAGCATAACAATTTAAAGGTTTATGGTAAATTTGTTTTATTATAGTTATTGGTTTTGTGTTTTTTTATTATTGTTTTATTAATTATTAATTGTTATAATATTGTTATTCTGAACTTAAGGTCAAAGGTAAAAAGACTTTGAGGGTAATAACTGCCCATTTTTTAAATTGGTACATTACAAATATGTTTCGTTGCTAAGCTTTTTTTGGAAGAAGGGTATTTTGAAATAAATGCCAAAAACAAATACTAAGTAAAAGAGGTTATTTTGAAAGAATTATTTTCCTATCCCTGGTACTACCAGGGCTAGCAGTGAAAGGGTTAAGGGGAACTTCGACAATGGAGAAATTAGAGAACAATTAAAAACACACAAAAGATATTCCCCTTAAGTCCGAGTTAGCACTTTTATTATTATTATTAATTATTATTATTATTATTATTGCTATTGTTGTTATTATTATTACCACCTCCGCAAGAAAGATTTTTTTCTGTGTGTGTGTTAGGGGTGGGGGTGTGTGTTAGCAGCCTCTTGCCTACATTTTTAGGTCTACAGGTATATGCAACTTTTAGTGACAATATGTAATAGAGTGAGGATATGAGGACAATTTACAGAGAAATATCCCACCAGATGTCTCAAAAACAACTGAAGTGCATGAAACCTGGAAGAATTAACCAAACAATATCATAATTATAATAATACAGTATAAGAATTTATGAAGTGTCAATTAAATGACCGAGGTGCATTATTAAAGCGGTAAAGGTGGAGAAGGTGAGTTTTAAGTAATTTTAAAATGAAGCAACAGAAGAACCATTTTTAATGTGTGCAGGGAGTCAATTTCCAAAGTGTAGGATGCGGCAAAAGAAAAAGATTTATGGCCAATGCTTTGTAAGGATGTGCGTAGAAAGGAGAGCAAAAAATTATCCTGTGATCTTAGGGTGCATCCAGGAATAAATATGGGTAATCTGATAAATATAGTTAGCTGTTGCTTAACAAAAGTGCATTAAAAGTAAGTAGCAAGATTTTGCAGGAATCAATGGGAAGCCAGTGGCGGTCTCGGGAGAACAGGGTTGATGTGTGATCAACGTTTTGTGAATGTTATAATTAGTGTAGCTGTCACGTGGTACTTCAATGATATCAATTTGACACGAACAAAACGACACCCATCATCAGATAAGTTACAACAATCTGTTTATTTCTTTCCTTCTTTTCTTTCGTCATTCATTTGACTTACTGCAACCCCTTGTTTCGTAAAATTTATCCATGAGTCAGCATAATATAGAGGCTACCTACTGTATAAACAAAATGGTACATTTTTCTAGAGACAGGCCCCACATCGTAATTTACAATTAACGACCTAAAATAAAATAAATTGCAAAATAGGCCTAGCAATAAATTATACTAAATATATATATTTTTTCTTAGGTCCAATTGCATTTCAATAATTCTATGAGTTACCCTGCACGATACACGTCATTAGTCCTGCTATAATACAATGCAATATAAATAATTAACTTACTGCTGCTAATTATGACCGAAACCTTAGTTTGTCACCTTTTATAGCACATATCTGCCTGCATTCAACATTAGCCAGTCTTCATGGACCTTGTCCAACTCGGCTTTTCTCATCTAAGGCCCTTAACTTAGGCCTCCCTAGAGACATCTGCTCTCAATCGAGACCTAGACAAAAAATTACCACCTTATCTCCCAGGGTCCAACATTATGACGTGTTTCCCTTTTAAATATGCATGTACTTAATTAATATGCACATACTTTTTAGTGTCCCTCTAGAGTTCCATTCTCAACATGATGATAATATCAATAGGAATAATATCATTAATAACAACAGTAAGAACAATAAAATATAGTAATAATAATAATAATAATAATAATAATACATTCGAATCAAGTCAATTGTGACAGTAGCAGGGTTTTAAAACCTCGGAAATATGTTAATTTGAGATTTAGGAAGAAAAAACTGATGGTGACAATCCATGTTTGTGTGTTTTGATTTGATTTGATTTATTTAATATGCTCTTTAAAAAATACAACAGAAACAAAAACACATGAACAGAGCAAATCACAAAAGAGCATATCGGGGATAACCCTAAAATTGTAAAAAAGACAATTATTTCCATAGGGGTCCCTACATGAAATAATGTGAAATGAACAAATAAAAAACTCTGCAGAAAAAAATGACAAACATCAAAATATAGCAATATATAAAAAACAGATTCAGTCCTTAATTAACCTTATACATATAAATATAAATATAATATACATACACGCACTAAAAACATCATTTTAAAATTTTCAACCGTCTACACAGCCATATTGTTGAGAAGAAACTTTTTAAATGCAAATTTATATGATCTGAGTGTATCTGGGCTTTTGATGGAAACGGGTAATAAATTCCAAGCAAGAATACCAGAATATGTAAAAGAAGAAAGAACTTTTGTTTTAGGAACATAAAATTATAAATAGAACCTTGAGTGTTATAGTTATGTATGTTATTGACCTTGATAAATCTCTCTTTAAGGTAATCAGGGCAAGTATTATTATAAATTTTATACAAGTGAGTTAAGCTAAGTTGTTTAGTCCTATAAGAGACATTAAGCAAATTTAAAGAAGCAAAATCATGAGTTAAATGATAACATGCGCACTTACCTAAAATAAATTGGATGACCTTATTTTGGATAACCTGTAACTTTTTTTTAAAACGCCTTTGTGGTACCAGGGTACCACGATACCAATGCATAATCAAAAATAGGTAAAATAAGTAAAGAACATGTGTTCTTTTTTAGACTTGTTTTAAAATATCTAGCCTGTCTATAAGCAAATCTAAGTTGATTGTTCATCTTTTTAGTAAGGCTATTTACAATAATTTCACATGACAATGTGTTGTTGAGTTCCATCCCAAGATACTTAACAGAGGTACTAGCCTTAGTTATTTGACCATTGCATGTAACATAGCAGTTCAATGTATCCTTAACTATCCTTTTTGAACTGAAGACAATAAATTAAGTTTTATCATTATGCATTGAGAGATAAATTATCAACAAGCCATTTAGAACATTTTCGAAGATTTTCACTAAGTTTAGTTTGAATTTGTGGAAGGCATTTGTCTGCATAAAGTAGAGCACTATTGTCAGCATATTGCAGGAATATACAATCAACGACGCCAAGCATGTCATTAACATAACATAAAAACAACAAACGGCCTAATATATATGCTCCCCATACAGGGAATTTATTCATCAAACTCCAGGCCTCCGGCCCCTTGTAAAACAAAATTATTACAAATTAAATAAGCGTGCTGTGACAATACCGTACTTTAAATAAATTTCATTAATACACCCGTGTTTCTTTGTTTTCCTTTCTCTTAAATGCATGATAAATAAATAAACATACTTTTCTAATTATATTAATGTTTTTTGATGATATAATTTGATAAAATTTTTCATTTGTTGGAAAATTAATATAATATGATGGGAGATATGTTTTTCTTAAATCAGAATATAACTTGCAAAACAAAAGAAAATGAATCTCATCTTCGATACTACCATCTTGGCAAATACAAAGTCTATTTTTATAATTAACGTTGTTTTTACGCCCCTTTTCAATTTCAAGGTTATGATTTGATATACGAAAAGATGTCATTAACAGTTTAAAATACGGTTTTATATTCATTGAGAGATAAGCTTCAATTCCAAAAGTACACTTGAATTTCATATGATCTGAGAATTCCCCCGTTTCTAAACACAATTATCTTAGATTTCTTCAAATTAACATTAACTCCAAATTTCATACAATATTTATCTAACTCATTAATTAATTTTTGTAATTTTAATTGTGATTCTGCCATTTGTACGAGATCATCTGCAAATAAAATGTGTATGAGTTTAGTCATTCCTAATCCGCAACCATCAAAATCATAATTATTGTTAAATTCGTAATGTAAATCATTAATGAAAAGAGAAAATAGGAGTGGTGAAAGAATGCATCCTTGTTTTAAACCATTTTTACAATTAAAGAAATCTGTAATGCCATTTTTTGTACGGACACAACTTTTTACATTTTCATAGTATGCTTTTAAAATATTAAATATTTTCCCGTTCATCCCACTCTGTTTAAGTTTATTAAATAATATTTGTCTATTCACTTTATCGAAAGCCTTTTCGAAATCTATGAATGCACAATAAAATCTTCCCTTACTTTTATAAAGGTATTTTCTAATTAAAGTATGAAGAATAAAAATGTTATCAGTAGTAGAGTACCCTTTTCTAAACCCTGCCTGTTCTTCCCTAAGTATATTACGGCCTAATATACTCTCCTGAGGGACACCATATTTAACATTAAGAACATTAGAAACTTGATTATTTGTGTGCACCTCCTGGGTTCTATTGCTGAGATATGATTTAAACCACCCTATGGATTTTACACCAAGGGCAGAGAGTTTACTAATAATAATAGAGTGATCTACACTGTCAAATGCCTTTTGTACAGTATATCTAAAAGAACAAGACCAACATGTAGACCAGAAGCTATCTTTTGCCTAATGTACTCATGAAGGTACAGTATATTAAACGGGTATCAGTTGAGTATCCACTGCGAAACCCTGATTTAAATTTATATAGGTCATTATCTGTAAGGTAATCATTTAGCTGAGTAAAAAATTGCTTTTTCTAATATCTTAGAGGCAGCAGGTAGGATACTTATGGGTCGATAGTTACCAGCTTCCATCCCTTTTTTTTTATAAAGCGGTTTTACCTTCACAGATTTAAATTGGGAAGGGACAGTCTCAGTAAGAATCGATAAATTAATAAGATACAATAACGGGCCTTTAATCTCACAAGCAACATCTTTGAGGAAACAAGCAGGAAAATCGTCGACCCCAGTGCTTTTGGTGGAATCAAGGTTCGATAGCTCAGTGTAAACAAATTCTTCGCTTATTTCTTGTAAAACAAAAGAGTTTGAAATAAACTTATTATATAATTCTTTCAAATCAGTTAAAAAAGAGCAAAAATAATTAAGACGAGGCAGGAGCAATGAAGAAATTTTACAAGGAATATTCATAAAAAAATTATTAAAAAGGTTTGCAACAGCAAGACCATCATGGGTCTTTTGTCCATCGTCATTCAGGACAATTTGAAGTTGCCCTTTCGTCTTAGTCTCATATCCAAGATTTTTTAGAACATTCCACATGCTTTGAGGTTTATTTTTATTTTTTTCAATTTCATTAGCTATGTGCTGTCATTTGGCTTTCCTATAAAAAGGATCTGGTTAACATTGTTTCTAAACTGACGATAAGATTTACATAACTCGTGTTCCTGGTCAAGTTTCTCGACACTTTTCATCATTTCATCTCTTTGGTGAATAAGTTCTAAAAGCTCACCAGCGATCCATGGCTCAGTTCGTTGCTTAATGCGAATGGTCTTCATTGGAGCTACTACAATGTTGAGTTCTTTCGTGAAAAACCTTGAGTGTGTGGGTTTAGGGTCATTTAAAGTGCTATTGTCCCAGACCTAAATATTTCAAAAAACTTTCTAGAATGGTTTATCACCTTACAAGGAGAAATAATTAAATTTTTGTCCAAGTAACAATAATTGAAGGCTGTCAATGGCTACCAGATCGCACATAACTAAAAATGTAATAGTTGTGTAAATGGATGACATTCGCGACATCCCGGGTTTGAATCCCTGTGGATGTTGAGATTCTGTTTTCATGATTTTTTTTTTTCAAAAGGAAAATTATGATGTGGAGATGTACATTTTCCGAGTGTGCTCTAGTTATTACTGTTATTATTGTTACACATTGCTTTTGCTGTGCTATTGTTATTATATTATTCTCCTGAAGACGATTTGAGCAACTCAATCGAAATATCAAGATATTCTCAATCAACAACAGTTTCTTTCAGAACTATCTACGTGGTGTATTGCAGGCATTAATATATTATTATGACTTCGCCATGCAAACCTTAAAACAATATTTTGTGCTATTGTTGTTTTATTTTTGTTTTTATTATTGTTAACCTTCAAACAATATTTTGTGCTATTGTTGTTTTATTTTGTTTTTGTTATTGTTATATTGTTGTTATTGTGACCATAATCGTCGTCATACATTTTATTTCATGATATGGATGCCCCAAATCATACATATTTTCGTTTTTCAGGTCTCTTGTAGCACTTTCGCTTATTCTATCACTTCTGCTCTTCAAACCTGCCCCTTTATACATTCTGGATGAGGTAGATGCAGCACTGGACTTGTCGCATACACAAAACATTGGTCAGATGCTAAGAACCCATTTCAGGCATTCACAGGTAAGTTGTAGAAGTGTCCAGGCAGTGCAAGAAAATTCCTTTAGGCCAAGAAGTATTGGTAGTGGATTAATAGTGTCAAGATAAATTTGCTGTTTAATAAATTTGAAAAGCTATCTAAGGATATGCAGACGTACATTTGAATTGTTATATTAACCTTGTATGGTCAAAGGATTATAACAACAGTTGTAAAAAAATAATCATGTGGTTCCCAACTCCACCGTTAACATCACGTGCCACAGACCCCTTAAAGTGTGGCTCATCCACCCCGGAAGATTTTCATAAAGACACTGTACTCATATATTGTAAAGTGGAATTTTATTTTTAGTATATCTTTAAAAATTCTAATAGTGGGAAATTTGATGTTAACTCCAGTAGGGTATACAGTACATTGAAGGAAATATAGGGTAGGTTTTTTTTTTAAATCTTTTTTTTCCAATAAACTTTGTTAGATGGAAATTTAGGCAAGTTGTCATACAATTATTTATTTAGATTTAACAAAACAAATCTAATTACTTTTCATGTCATAAATTTCAAATGGTGCGCCAACCGCAAAAGATCTTGCTCCACACATACAGGTATGCATGGTCCTTGTTCAATCAGTAGTGACTTGTCTGTCAAGCAAAGGAAGGTTACATATGGGTTTATACAGTGTGCATATCCATAAAACCTCTGGTAAAATCAGTTCCATAATCGTAGTAACAGGTCATTGAAGGTGTGGCTAAGGTCATGACCTATGTGTTTATGCTGTTTGGTCTTTCTTATGCACATGGAATACTGTTTTTCTGGCATGGTAAGATTTCAGTTTTTCCCCAATGAAGCAGTTTGTTTTTTATGATACTGTGTAACCTGTGAAAGCTGACTTGTAAATCAATGATTACTGCTGAGGGTGTGTGGAGTTTTGGAGTCAGGATGACCATGGGTTCGGCCAGAGCTGTGGGCCCTGCGCTTCAGTAAATAACAAATAAACAAAATAATTAAAAACTCAAGATTCTCACCAGTACATCCGATTCAGTAAACAATCACAACTGTGATCACTCACCCTTAATTACTCCCACATAATTACAATAATACAGGGGAAGATAGAGTCCCAAACAGGTACCCTTATCTCACGGATCAGCCCACTTTACTACTGGAAGTCTATGCAACTGTTCCAGATGAATTCTCAAGTTACCCTCTCTCTAACTGTACTCAACTTAAGTAGTTAATTTGCATATCTTGCCCAAAACAGCAGGGCAGTGGAGGGGCAGCCTAATTGGTTAAACTAAGTTTGGGCTGACCACTTCCTATCTAGATTAGTCCATTCCCCATCACCTTGGTGACCCTGGGGCAATACCAAATTCCGTTACAGTATCACAAAGATTTAATAGGCTATAGACAATGAACGGAATGACAGCAAGTACAAATGTTTGTCTGAGTTAACAAAAGAGCTGTCAAGTGATGCTTGTGGATTTGAATTCAGTTGTGGGATGAGCCAAACTGAATTCTGGAGGCAGTACACACAACGTTTCTTTGAAGAAAATGTTTATCACAATAAACTTGCACAACTTTGCTCTTGAAGAGGCTACAGACTTGATTTTGGGCTAATTTTACAGCTAAATAATGCTGATATAATTTACAAATTTACAAACCCAGGTTTTTGGAAATAACGAAACAAGAATTGTTGTATAACCGCCGTGCTAGACTTGCCACAAGTCCCTTATTGTGTTTTTCTCATTCTTGACAAGGCCACCAACGAGTGACTTATTTTAGATATGGAATCAGGGACTTGTAAAACACTGCATGCAGGTACAAGGATGCGAAAATAAATTATTTCAACCAATAACAGTGTTCACATTTTTGGAGCCTTGAACGTGTACAGAAAGTGAATCACCTGCTGACACAGTAAATTTTTAACAATGTTCTAACCTATACCTAAATCTGTGTAGCTTTAGCGGTAAACAAGGTTATTTAATATGAATAAAGTAAGCCAATCATGTGACTTACAAAATCATTCATGCATAGGATATTACACATCAAATTTGATATATTAAATCGTACGCATGAATGATCAGGCCGTGTTTTCCCAGGTCCTAATCCGTAAAAAGAAAAAAAAAATGAGTATGGGACGCCAATTTAATTAGGTATGGCGCGCACTAAGCGCAGTAAAGAGTGAATAACCCAAAATTAGGGGCTGGAACCCAGGCTACTGCCATGCTTTCAATAACATGTATTTCATATTATAATTTCCATACATGAAGGTTAGCCTATGCTAGCTTTTGCTCATTAATGCTATGATCTACCCCAGTTGAAAAGAAAAGTCAACTGAGCTTGGCGGTATAGAACCAAGTCCCACAGATGAACTTGATATATCCGAATGTGAGGACTAGCACTGTTCTTTGCCATCAGACCAAATGCAGATTTATTTTATGATTTCCTTTTCCATGTTACCTCAGAAGGTGTTGTTAATATAGAGGATGAATTTGACCACAAGTACTGTGTGCAAAAGGAATTGTATCACGCAATTCAATTCAATTTTATTTTGATCACAAATGGCAGTAATATGACTGAATAGCTTGTGATTAACAGTTTAAAATTTATAAAAATTGCTTTAAATAGAAAAAACAACAGAAACAGCATAAAGAATCCAAAAAAAAAAAAAAAACCTGTTAAACAGTACAAATAAATGACAGCAAAAATACTTTAAAAATAGACGTATAAAAACGGAACAAACGATTCAAAAAACAAGAAGCAAATTAGGAAATAAAAACAGAAAAAATGTAAGTAAAAACATTACAGGATTGGATCAAAAGTACAGAATTTTTGTTATTGTTTATTATTTTGTAACTAAAATTGAAAAGGTTGGAATAGGCCTATTCATTTATTATTGTTATGTAATTATTATAATTAATGATAACAGTGACAATATTAATATTATTTCCATCGCTATTATCATTGTCATTATTATTATTATTAGATTGAAACTGGAGTCAATATTTGAGAGAGGGGGATTTCACAAGTCACGAATAAGATCATTGAGGCACCTGGTTAGGAAAGGGATTGTGCTGTCGTTGTACCGCTTAGTCCACCAACTTCTATTGGCATACATATCGGTGCCCCTAAGTGGCATTTGGTGTTGTTTTGAATTAAGTTGAAACCATTCAGAGAATCTAGGGGATTTAGCGTAAGAGTCATAAATACAAAGCAAAACCTGACACCAAAGGAGTTATTCCAAAGGACTGTGTTCTATACTTTGGAATTGAACTAGTGAAATCTCTCTGTTTTCATTCTTACCAATGAAGACTACACAAACATTATGTGTGCACTTTCAATTTAATGCCGTATGACATATTTTATGCCTCGTTAGAATACATGAATGAACAGATAATTAAAAATTACTCTTTCATTTTTATTACACCTGCTGCTGCCTTAAAATCTCCAAAAAATAAGATATGTGTATTTCTTCATAATTAAACAGTATAAATTAAAAGCATTTAACCATCCTATTACTACACTGTTTACATTTAACAATACAATTTTATTTTTATTTTTTCCCATGTCTGGATGTTGGCAGTTCTTTTTACAACCTATTGTAAAAAGCCCAAAAGGTACTTACCGGTGTCGGTATTGCTTTCCCGCGTAGGCCTAAATACAATTGTATATGTCTGTGTAGCATGAGCTCTTGACTTGAAGTGACATCCTTTCTCCGAGGGCTTCCTGAGATCGGCCTTTCAACGCGCATGCCGGTTAAGATGCCAGTCTGTGCAGATGAGCTAACCCAGGAAGTACGAGGTCATGGAAACATGACCTTTAGGGGATCATCACTACATTCCCACATTGTTTGGAAAAGGACGCCATGCAGCATGGAAAAGGACCCAACCCACCGACATTCTCAGTGGGCCACGAGTCTGGAATTATTCAGGAGGGTTCAGCCCATAAACATATTGGAAAAGAATAGAAATTAAGGAAGCACAAGAAAATAAAATGAAACGATCTCCTAAATAAACTGAAAGTTTCCTTGGGTGGGCACTGAGCTTAAATACTCAGAAGAGGTCCAGGCCGTTCTTCTGGGTGAGCTCTAGGACTCTCTGGGTATCCCAGCCTAAAACCTGACCCACCCCCACTGCTGTTTGCTATAACAGATGGGTGCTCCCACCCGCTGGCCCCGGGGATGGAAATAGGGACCATTGAACTCGATGAGCAACCTACGGTCACTCACCGTGACGATGTGCCTGGCAGCTGCCTGTTGCACTTCCGAGAACCCCTGGAAGTATAGCACCCCTCTGCTAAGTTGTCTCCATCCATCTCCCTTACGTGCAGGCAAATCAGATGGTGACGCCGGGAGGAGTAGCACTGTCTAAGCATCTTCTCAAACATTTCATCTTGATGCACCCAGTCGGCAGTTGGCAACATATGGTCCAACCCAATTTCACTGAGTATTCTCACGTGGGAGGACCTTGTGAGATGCCTCATGCTTGGGGTGCAGACCCACGCCCTCCTCGTACCCCTGCTCACAAAGAACATATCTCCCGGAAAGAGGGGAAAGATGCGGCATAGGGAGAGAATCCTCCGCCCGTCGCGCAGTCCCGTTAACCACCTCACCACTAAGACGATCCACGATAGCAAGGTAGCACCGCCAATGGATCAAGACGGACGAGTGGCTAATGGGGCAGACGGAGAATTCGCTCACCGATCCAGCACCGAAGAGTTCGCAGAGTTTTTGTATTGACCACCTGGCTTTCATCTCAATGATGTACGTTTCCCCCAGCTTCCCAGTCGCACTCTCTTGAGTCAGTTTGGTCAGCCGGAGTCGCAGTAGTGGCGGTATTCCCTACAATAACCCTAGCGACACTTTCCAGTACTTTAAATTGTACTTGAGTGCGTCACATTGTGCACCGTGTTTGCGGCTTAAAGATAGGACCAGGGAGAGACAAAGGACTCCCACCAGTAGGGCTACCCTGACCCGATTTGGCATGGGCCACAGATACCGGATCAGGGTGAAATGACAATCCACCTTCTCCCGG